CATTGACCAGGCCAAGGGCGGCAAGCAGGACACTGACTGGGACAAGGAGGAGGACAGCAGGGTGCTGCTCAACTTGACGCAGTATCTAGCAGGTCAGCCGTGTCAGTCACTGCGGGGACCGCTGGGCCCATAGCCGCCAAAAAAGCAGCGGAAGATCGGAGCGAGCGGCACCCAGCAGGAGGCGACGGAGATTGTCCCACCAGTGGCCACCAGCAGTATGGGATGCGAGGACGACCCCTACGTGCATATGGATGCGGAGGCGGACGAGCCCAGCCTGCAGCAGCTGCAGCTGGAGGAGGAGGCTGCTGAAGCAAAGGGGGAAGGTGCGATGGCAAGTAATGCTGAGGAGCCCCAACTGGCCCGCTCTACGGGGTTGGGGACACGATGGACCTTGATGGCGGGAAGCTCGACACCTACGGCTCCACCGACTGGGGGTACATCGTCCCAACTGGCCCGCTCTACGGGGTTGGGACCACGAGCGACGAGGGCAGCAAGCACTACGACACCCTCGACGCCATCTACTGGGATTACGCCGCCCCAACTGGCCCGCTCTACGGGGTTGGGGCCAAGAGCGTCGGGGAGTGCGAGCAGTTCTACTTCGATGTCGCCGTCTACTGAGCAGCCCCAACTGGCCCGCTCTACGGGGTTGGGGGCACGAGGGGCCCAGAAGGCGGGAAGCTCGACACCGATGGCTCCACCGACTGGGGGTTCATTGTCCCAACTGGCCCGCTCTACGGGGTTGGGACCACGAGCGACGAGGGAAGCAAGCAGATCGACACCTCCGACGCCGTCTACTGGGAGTATGCTGCCCCAACTGGCCCGCTCTACGGGGTTGGGGCCAAGAGCGACGGGAAGTGCTAGTAGTTCTACTTCGATGACACTGTCTACTGGTTGTACGTGGATGTCAGAACGCTCCAGGGCCCCGCAAGGGAGCCCTGGATCGCCGTCGCCACCTGGACGACCCGCGCCCTGGGCACTCCAGCCACAGGAGGAGGGAGCTCCAGCGAGCGGCGCGGGCGGACAGGAAGCTTGCTGGATTCGTGATAGCAATGGCAGCACAGACAGCGGTAACTTCCCCCTGCGTGGCGAGGGGTTAGGCCACAGTGGGCAGGAGCAGATGAGGATTGAGCTAGGTGAGCCCCTCGACTCCCCCACCACCCTGATCGAGCCAGGTGGGCCCTCCGTGGCGTTGAGGTCTGAGCTAGGTGGGCCCCTTGACCGAACAGGAGCAGATCAGAACGGAGCATCGGAAGAAGCAGAACTGATAGCTGAAGTTTTCCGACGCGCAGCCCGTCATGCTGCCCTGGCCTGGCGGGACACTCGGGCACAAGTACGATCATGGGCCAAGAAGGCAACAGACAATGCGATGAAAGGAGCACATCGTTATTTGAGTTCAGAGGAGCGAATCGACACGAGTGATGGATGCTTGGACCCAGACACCAAGAAGTGGGAGATGGACCCGCAGAAAAGAATTCAACTTCGACGACGGCAGTGGGAAAGGCGATGGACGGCTCACAAGGACTTCGCCACAAAGGAGCTCCCGCAAGCCATGCACGACCTGAGGAGCAAGGCACAGGAGGCGCTCGCTGAAAGACCCTTCCTCACGCGTGAGTGCCTTGACATGGCGCTGAGCAGCTTCCACGCGGGGACTGGGCTTGGTGCTGATCAATGGGCGCCAGACCAGTTGCGAGCGCTCAGCCCGTCGTGCAAGGAATCCTTCCTCATCATCTTGAATATGTGTGAGAGGCAGTTGACTTGGCCACATCAAATAATGCAGATATGGCACGCCCTACCACCAAAGGGGGACAAACAAATAGCGGGGGAAGAGCGGCCCATAGGGCTGATGCCGATGACGATGAGAGTCTGGGGTAAGATGACCAAAAGACGATTAACTGAGTGGCGGGGTTCTGGGACGCGGCCGTCAGGAAGAGTTCGGCGTTGCAGTCGGCACTGCTAACACTTGTTCTGGACGAAACACGGGCCAATCTAGACGAAGCCAGCCAAGCTACGTTCTTCCAGGACTTATAGAAGTTCTACGATTTGGTAGACTTAGGTATATTAGCTGTACGTGCTGCGCAAGTCGAGTACCCCCCAGTAGAGCTGTACATGTGCATCATGTCGTACCTCTGCCCTAGGCTAGTCAAGGCTAATAAGATCTACAGTGACCTGATCGTTCCTGACAATGGGATGGTACCAGGATGCGGGAAAGCTAACCACGGAGCCCGAGCACTACTCTATCACGTGCTAGAAGAAGTACACCTAGCCGCCCCGATAGCGAGGTTGAGACAGTTCGTGGACGACATCACCGTGAGGGTCGAGGGCCCTAACGACGTGGTAGGTGCAGCGGTGTCGAAAGCAGCGAGCGTCCTGGTTGGAGGCTGCCTCAAGGCGAGGCTCAGGATCTCCGACAAGTCTACCATCCTTGCCCAGAACCCCCAGGACGCCCTGGAGGTGGAGAGGTCCCTGGCCGAGTTTAATGTTTCCATCAAGAAAGGCAAGGAGATGAAGGACCTGGGGACCGACAACACCATGGGGATACGCAGATCCAGGAAAACGGCGACAAGAAGGAGTAGACTCGGCAAAATTCGGGCCACCAGGGCCGGTTTATTCGCTAGTTTGGGACGGGCCCGACGTAAGAAGAGCAAGCTCCTATTTAATGCTAACGTGCGGGCTAAGATGTCCTACGATAGCCCTCTCTTTGGCCCCCCCCCGACCGAAATCCGAAAGCGGAGAGCCCTGGCCGCGGATTTAGCTGGTTTTGGAAAGAAGGGCCGCTGCACCGCGATGGTCATGCTGCTGATGTATGGGGAGGGGGACCCTTGGGCTGCGTGCGTGAAGCGCCAGGCCAAAGAGTGGCTCATTTTCTGGGCCAACAACCCCACCCTCAGGCAGCAGGTTCGGAGGGGGTGGACGGCCACTAAGTTTAAGCTTGCTAGGTTGAAGCCCCGATCCCGATGGCGAGCAGTAGCGGGGCCTATGGGGGCCTTGTTGCTCACCCTTCGGTCCCTGGGATGGGTTGGGGTTGAGCCTGACGTTTGGGAGGACCCCGACGGTGCTCAGTGGCGCTTCAACCCCGACCTGTCCGATGATGTGACCGAAATTAGCGATGCCCTGGCCCAGTCAGTTCAGAAGCAGTTGTGGAAGCAAGCCTCCTTGCACAGTGAAGGAGCCTGCCTCAAGGACGGGGGGGACCTCACCATGTTGCAAACTAACGTCAAGCGCATGCATAAGAAAGATATGTATCAGGAAGCTGGCGCCCTGGAGGGGATAGCGTGTGCCACAATTTGGAATGGAGATCGCCAGAAGCGAGCTGGCTATCAGACAGACGGCATGTGCACTAGGTGTGATCTAGGGGCCCCAGATTCCACGCGTCATAGGACCTATGAGTGCCCCAGTCTGGCCCAGTTGGAGCATCCTTGGATTGCCAGAACGGGACACTTGTGCGAGCGAGCGATCCGCGACCTCGACCGCGGGGTTAACGAATCGCTCTGGCTCCGAGGGATCGTTCCCCTTTCATGGAATCCTGTGCCACCCCCACCAGAGTGGGGGGACGTGAATGCCTGGCGTGTTAGAGCCGTTGACACCCCGCCACCCGCCATCGGTCCCAATGGAGAAGTGACGCCAGCCCGAAGGCTGGAGGCGAGGTTTGGTTTTTTGGATGGTTCTGGCACGTCGTCGGACCCGCGTGTGGCGCGAGTCGGGTGGGGCGTCTATCTCCAGTTGGGACTGCATGGCCCTCCCGCCCCTGGAGCTTCGGACCCTTCCCCTCCCCTCCCTGGGTGGTACGGGGGAGTCGACGGCCGCCAGACCGTCCCAGCAGCAGAGCTCGCCGCCTTGTGGTGGTGTTTGGAGCTCACAACTGGGGATATAGTTATATATACTGATAACCAGGCTGTCTTTGATGGGTGGCACGGGGGTAAGCTTGACAACCCCAGTGGAGTGCTCAGGGGGTGGTGGCAGAGGATCAGAGCTGCTGCCCTTTCTCGCCCTGGGGTTGTCATCCTCCGCAAGTGTTTTTCCCACCTCGATTCCCATTCCCACCTCCTGTCCTCCCAGCCTCCATTTGTCTCCCGTGGGAATGAGTTGGCCGACGCCTACGCCCAGAGAGGGGCTGAGGAGGCGAGCGCTCCCATCAGGGGAGAAATCAAGGCCTTAGGCGTCGCGGACGCCTGCGCCACCCTCGCCCAGCAGCGCCTGGCGGCGGTGACCAGGGAGCTCGCGTCGCAGGACCGCGAGCAGTGTGCACGGACTCCCGAGGGGGGAGGGGGGGCAGCTTCCAGGCGGGTTGTCGAGCTCGAGCGAGTGTCGGGCCACCACTTGGGGCGGTTGCCCAATGGGGCGTGGCTGTGTCGTCGGTGCCGTCAGGGTCCGCCCCCTGGGTCGTCGCTTGTGGACTGGCTCGGGCTCGAAGATAACCGCTGTAAGGGGGACCCCACCCAGCGGCACTTGAGCGAGAATGATAATGTTGTGCTCGTGCCCCGCCCTGTGACCACGGAGTTGAGGACGGCCAATAAGCATGTCCACCCCTCCCATTGCGTGGCCATGCGTAACGGGCAAGTGTGGTGTTGGAAATGCGCCAGTCTGGGCACCGTGGTGAATGGGGGGGGCCGTCTCTTGCTCCTAGCGGAGCCGTGCCGAGAATGGACCACCCCCTCGGGAGATAACTATCTTAGTAGATTGCGCAAGGGGCTCCCACCAAAGGGCAACAAGTGGCCCAATGACAAGGGAGCTGGGCGCCTCCGAGTGGAGGCAGGGTCGAGTGTAATCCAGTCATTTTTGAAACCCAAGTCTCGGAGATAGTGTGCTATCGAGAGCCGCCCCCCGAGGGGGGGGTGTAATTGTCCAGCTGTGGCTTCGCTGCTGACTGGCACCCTTCAGCATTCTCCCAGCACTCCTCCCACTCCTCCCCCTCCTCCCCCTCCTCCTCCTCCTCCTCCTCCTCCTCCTCCTCCTCCTCCTCCTCCTCCTCCTCCTCCTCCTCCTCCTCCTGCCGCGCGGACCTGGCCATCGCCGTCCGCGAGGTGCAGGCCGACGGCCCGGACGATCTCCTCCAGGCCGACCTGCTCCAGGACCTCGAGGCTCGTCTGCCTGGGAGAGCGCAGCAACAAAACAAACGACAAAAAGCAAAAAAAAAAAAAAAAAAAAACACGGCGCAGGCACAGCCGGTCGGAGGTCCGCGCGGACTTCTGGGATCGGCGCTGGGCCCCCTCCCTGCCTCGGAGCGGGGCGAATTGAGACAGCGGCAACTCTCAATCGGTCCACAGACCCCTGCCGGGGTCCCAATGCACAACTTTTCCGAGCTGCGTCCGACAGTGTGGAGACGAAGGCCTCCCCCCCCGAAGACCAACCAACTGCCGCTGTCTCAACTCGCCCTCCTGTGACTGGCACGCGGAGCGCGCAAGGGTCGGCGCCGCCAGGGGGTCCAGCGGCGATCCAAGAAAGTCCGTGCGGACCTGGGCGCGGCCCACGAACGTGGCCAAGGATGCAAGGGGTACCCTTGGGACACCCATCCGCACTATGCGTGATGACTGTATGGGGGGTCTTCCCTGCCCCCCCCTTGGCCGGGGCCCTCCGCGCCGGATCCGAAGCTATCCGAGGCTATCCCCGAGGCTCTCCGAGGCCCTTCCGAGGCTATCTCCGAGGCCACATTCCGAGGCTATCCCCGAGGCCCTTCCGAGGCCCGTCCAAGGCCATTCCAAGGCTAATTCCGAGGCCACCTCTGGACGCCGAGGAGTGCAGCAATGGTCGGGACAGAGGATGTCCCCCGCAGACTCTGGTGAATGTATTCGGGGAGGCGTAAGACTCGGGTAAGGGGGACTCGGGCTGGCCTGACGGGGCCATCATACAAAGGACGCGACCCGATCTGAAATTGGACGCGAGCTCCCGCTGCAAGCATCCCACGAAGACTGACCCTCAAAATCCAGGACGCGCTCGTCGAAAAACGTCGGCAAACCCGCGTTCCAGCTTACTCTTAGGTCGGGCATGCCCTCCTGAAGGCGGACTTTGGAGGAACAAAACACAAGACAGAGTCAAACAAAACAATCAGAACATCGCCCCCTAGACTGGTTCCTGCCTACTTTTGCATATTCCACCTACAGAGGGACGTGCCCGACCTGAGCTCACTCGAGTCAAACGTCTCCCCGACGTGTGACCCCGCAGTCGTTGGTCGTCCCCGGCCGCCGCAGGCAGCGGAGGGCGGCCGCGCGCACGGCGGGGAGCTCGTGCGCGAGCCCCAGCGGACCTGAGCGGGGGGCGGCTCGGAGGGGGGGGGCCCGCTCTCTCTCTGCAGCCCCGAAGCGGTGCGGTGACAGGACCGTGCGGTGACCTCGACATCCCCCCAACGACCTCACCGCACGGTCCGTCACCGCACGCTCTTGGGGCCTCGGAGGCCCCCGTCGCCCGAGACGTCCTGGGAGAGGGCCTCGAGTCCCAAAACCGTGCGGTGACCCACCTCGGATCCCCGCCGACTCACCGCACGGTGTGGTCACCACCCCGTTTGGGGGCGCCCGACTCTCCGTGGGGGGGTGGGGCCAGACAGGACCGCGTCGTAAAGAAATCAGGACGGGAAAATTGTTGGCCAACTTCGGCTTCGGTGGGTCCTCGCCGGGTTTCGGGACCGTCAGCAAAAACGACTCGGGATGACAAACTGGCTCCGGGGGAAAGGGTCTGGACTTCCATGGCCGCCGTCCTGAAAAAATCAGGACGTCGCATGTCTGGGGGGGGGGGCTCACTCGGAATCGGAGATGTATCGCCGAGAGATCGGCGGTGCAAGCATCGCGCTACCAGAAAGAACGCCGGAAAAGACGGGGGAGTGGGGAAACGCTCACTCGGAATCGGCGATGAATCGCCGAGGGATCGGCGATGCAGTCATCGCGCTGACAGGAGGAACGCCGAATCTCACGGACGACGACGAGGGGTTGTGCGTCTCCCACTGGGGAGTGCCCGCCGCTGCCGGTGCCCCTGAGCAGGGGTCAGAGATCGACCCCTGGACGTCTCCTGGGGCGAACTCTGACCAGGATCCCGAGGCGGCGGGTCCAGCCGTGGATGCACGAGGGCGCCCAGAGATGAGCGACAGTGTCCAGAGAGCGAGCCTGGATCTCGGACCTGCCCTTGCCCTGGGCCCAGTCCCCGACCCCGAATAGCTTGAGCGGCTCCGGCGCTCGATAGAGGAAAGTGCCCAACAAATAATCACGGACAGCGCCAACAATTAATAGGGGCCGACCCGAAAAATAATGAACGTGAGCTACCAATAATTTGGCAATAATTGCCGCGTGATTCTAATAATTCCGAAGCCCCGAAAACGTCAAACGCAGATCGGAAGGTCGAGACCGATGGCAGGGGCGCATGACCGCGCGACAACCCTTCCACACCTGTGTTTCATACACCAGCGACACGCCAAAACGATCACAGGCATCGGATGGTGGATCGGACCGTCGACCACAGCGGGGGGCGAGGAGGTGAAGGAGGAGGAGCAGGCGGGAGAGCAGTAGGATCAGGAGGACGAGGGGGTGGGAGACTGGCTGTTTCCCACGCGGCCCGCGCGACGCGAGACCACAGGCCGTCGCGGGCAAAGTGCCAGACCGCAGGCAAGCGCCCGCGATAAGAGGAAAAAAAAAAAAAACGCGAAGAGCTGAGATGGAGGCAACCGAACGCACCCCGTACTCTTGCTACAGCAACCGTCTGCGCCACGGCGAATGGCGCGGTACCCCCTGGTCCTGCGCACCACGCGCCACGCGTTCAACCTTGAGCGCCCGCCTCACCAGGGGTGAGACCGCGACATGGTGTAGCAAGAGTCGGGGAATCTACGCCGCCGCGTGCTTGCTGTTGCTCGTGTTGCTGCTGCTGCTGCTGACCATGTCGTTTAGTTGATCGTCCCCCTCCCTCGCCATCATCATATGACCAGCGTCCATGCCACGCGGCATCATCAGTAGCACCGTCACCCACGACATCATCCTCGCCGTCGTCATCTACGAGGCGAGGAGGATGCCGTTCTTGATGACGGTGATGTCAACGTAGACTACGTCGGCATCAGCGTCATCAAAAACGGTCTCGTCGACACCTGCAGGGATGTCCTAGCATCGCATACGACATCCACCCCCCTTCTGTCACCCGCTGATGTACTACCTCGCCCGTCCTGCCTCCACCTCCCCAGGGCGCGACTGCCCTCACGCCGCTACCCCAGGCTGGGCCCCTGCACCCAGGGCCGCAGTGCCTGCAGCGCAGGCGGCGGCGCGGCTGGCCGCTCAGGCGGCGGCGCCGCCGCTGCCGGGGGGGCCGCTGCTGGAGGCGCTGCCGGCGGCACCGCTGCCGGCGGCGCCGCTGCCGGCGGCGCCGCTGCCGGCGGCGCCGCTGCCCGCGGCGTCGTTGCCGGCGGCGCCGCCGAAGGCCGCGGGCGCGACCTCGTCGGCCGCGGTCTCGAGCACCTGGCCCCCCTTCTCGAGGGAGGCCGTCACGCACGCGGGCAGGTGGGCCCAGACGCCCTTGCCCTGGAGCTCTCGCTTGAGGCTGTCCGCGGCGGCCTCTGAGGATGCCGCCTCCTCCTCAGTAGCCCTCCTCTTTCCACCTCCCCTCCCCTCCCCCCCCCCTCCTCCCCTCCCCTAGTCCTCCGCCTCCTCTTCCTGCTCAGCTCATCCCCCCCCCGTCTTGCACCCCTCTCCGCCGCCTCCTCGTCGCTCATCCGCCTCCTCCGTGCGAGCCCGTCGTCGTCGTCGCATCGAGCCTTCAGCTTCTTGGGCCCCCTGAGCTGGGGGAAGGCAAACTTCATGCTGAATATCACGTATGCGAGGCTGATGGTGACCATGCCGTCGAGCGCCGCGGCCTCCCACTTGGTCACCATCTCTGGGGGCAGCACGCCAGGGGTTCGGCGAGCGACCTTGATCCTGGCGTCGATGTCGGCGCAGAGCTCGCCCAGGGCTTTGAGCATCTTGTTCGAGACGAGCTCCTTGCTCATCGGGTGCGGGGGCGATGCAAGCAGACTCTCCGCGACGGGCTTCCAGTTTGGCTGCCACTGCTTGATGTTCTCGCAGGCCTGTTCGAAGCCACTGATCCAGCGCTGCTGCGCGGTGCCGAGCGACGTCTCCATGCACTGAAGCGTGTCCCGGCACATGCGGGCCAGCGGGACGTCCTCAAGGAAGGGCACGGTGTCCGGGCCGCTGGCCGAGAGACACGTCTCCAGGTTCTGCGCGAACGTGCTGCTCTTGAAGTCCTGCTCGAGGCGGGGCACGGGGGGGATGGGGGTGCGTGGGAGACTCCAAAGATCGGCTGCTCCCCATCCGTACCGCTCCCCTACCGCCGCCTGAACCCCCTCCGCGGCCTCCCCTCCACGTCCAGTCAGTCAGCCGTCCAACTGCCCCGCGTCTAACGCATCGACCTGTCAGGTGGCGGGCTGGACTCCTAGATCGCGGATCGGGTCGAGCGGAGGGGGGCGCGAGGGGGGGGGGGGGGGGGGGGGGGGGGGGGGGGGGGGGGGGGGGGCGGGGGGGCGCTAACAGCACGGCATGGGGGCGAGAGGGCGGTGGCGGAGGAGGCCGAGGAGGAGGAGCACGAGGCGCAGGAGACGGATCGGCACGGAAGGGGCGCAGGACGAGATCGTCGAGGAGGAGCGCGAGGGGGAAGGATCCCACCACTAGGAAGACCAGCGTTGAATCGGGAGGACAATCGGGGACAAGGCGCGGGGGGGGGGGGGGAAGGAGGAGGGGGAGGAGGAGGAAGAGGAGCAGGACCAGGAGCAGGAGGAGGAGGCGGAGGGGCATGACGAGCAAAAGGATCATGCCCTGTAACACGCCCGGGTCCTTCTCGTCGAACTGGATCCCGCGCGATGCCTCGTGCGCGCGGAACGCGTGGTCCACCGTGCCCAGGAGCGCCTGGTGCGCCGCGAGGGCGGAAAGCCACGAGTCCAGGGCGGCCTTGTCGAGGTCGCCGTGGCACTGGATGAACGGCATCCCCTGCACCCACACTTTGGCGATCGCGACAATGAGGCCAACCTGCGTGCGCAATACATCTCCAGAGTGGCGCACTGCCTCGACGGCGTCGGCGAAGGCCGTCGTGGCATCTTGGGTGAGCTGGGCGTCGTATCCCTTGCCTACGATCAGGCGGTACTCGCCCACCACGTCATTGTCGTGACACACGTCTCCAGCCCACTGGGCTGTCCAGAAGACGTCAGTGAAGTTACCGAACACCGACAGGCTGCATAACTTCTTGAACGCATCCATGCGGTCAGCAATGCGCGCCGCAAGCAGCGTCTTGATCTCCGTGTACTGGTCAGCCGCCTCGAGTGCGCTGATCATCCGCGCGACCTGACCCTCGAGCTCGTGCCCGTCCCAGAAGTCGCGCAAGAACCGCATGGTGTCGCGGGCCTCGTCCATGTACGTGAGAACGTCGCCGACCTTCGCGTCAGGCTCACGGTAAGTGTGGAACACTCTGACGACGTCGGCTGCAGCGCGTATCATGTTGGCAAGCTGGGTGTACTCCTCCACCCCGACGTCCTTCAGCTTCGTCGAAAGCTTCGGAAGGTCGCTCACCGCCTGGGTCAGGGCCACGGTCGCCCGGGCGCCTGCCTGCCAAGTCGCGTTCTCCCAGCCGGCCTCCTCGAGCGGCCTGCCCAACCAGCCGATGACGGCCACGGTGAGCTCCTCGCAGAGGGTGGGGACTGGGCCTCATCCAATGCCCCCTCATGCTCTTTCTCATGGTTGAGCTGCGCCTAGTCCCCTCTCCACAACCTCGTCCTACCCATCACCCCTCCTCCGCCCACCCCCCCATCCACCACCTGCCCCGCCCCCTATCCGTCCCCCGTCCCCCTGGGGCCTGGCGGAACAGCGCGCGGCATCAAGTGGACTGGGGCAGCGTTGGGTGACGGGCCAGGGCTCTGGAGACAGGCCAAAGGGCCGGCTGATGGAAGGGGGGCCGAAGGCATTCCAGCGAGGAAGGGGGGGCCGTCGTTTGATGGGGTAACGAGTTGCTGACCCTATCGGCAATCCTGGCACAGGTCCAACACCAAGTCCATCGCGATCGCGCAATAGTCGTGCAGCGCATCGTCGATGTCCGAAACGCAGAGGTACCTCTCGGACAGGGGAGTCGCCGCAAGCAAGAGGTTCGAGATGGTGCTCAGGTGGCCTAGGACGCTGGTGACGCGCGTCCTGACGTCCATAGATGTGGTTGAGGCGTCCTGCCGGGCGTGCTCACGGGCCTGCTTCACCGAGTTCGCCACGCGCTTCTGCAGCTGGGCGCCAGCGGTGTAACCCTCGATCGCCACCTGCGCGTCGCGCAACACTTTCTTAGCGATCGGCCACTGTGCCGCCGACCCAGCCGTGGGCCAGCGATTGCTCAGGATGCCTGTGACGCACTCCGCCGCCTGCTCAAGCTCCGCCAGGTCGGGCATGACATCGTCCTCGAGCATATGCATCGCAGTCCTCAAGGCGCCCATGTCCGCCTTCAGCTCCGCCGGTGCCCACTCTGGAAGGGTGCGCGCCAGGCGAAGGAGATCGCTCTGCAGATGCGCCTGGTCTCCCTGCGATATCATGCTGATTTTCATTTTCACCATGTCCACGAGCATAGCATGCTGCGCATCGGCGGTCGGGAACCCCGCATCCGACAGTGTGGACGGTTCCAAACAACTCCACATGTTCTCGTCTGGAGCGGCGCCCTGAGAGGGGTGGGGGAGCTCCAACAGTGGATGAGCTGGGCGCGGGGGCTGACTGAGGGGCGCTCCGCCTGCCCCCCCCTCCTCCCCCCTCCCTCCCTGTCGCGACAGCTCGCTGCCCCATTGGCCCTGGGGTGTTCGAGGAGGGTGCCGGGGGAGCGGGATGAGGAGGGCCGGGGGAGGGGGTGGGGGGGTGGGGAGGAGACGCAGGAGGAGGAGGAGGAGAAGGAGGAGGCTGATGGGGGGGCGGGGCGCGACGCAGGAGGAGGAGGAGGCTGAGGAGGAGGAGGAGGAGGCTGAGGAGGGCGGGGGGGGGGGGGGAATGAGGAGGGGGGTAGCGGGGAGCGGGTGGCAATACACCCGAGACAGCCCCCGCTAACACCCACGTCGGCCACCGCAGGATATCCCCCTGACCCTGCGTGCCTCAACCTGCTTGGCAATGAACTGCGACATCATCCAGTGCGGGAACGGCGCAGGCGAAACGGGTGGACTGGCGAGGAAGGCGAGCGACATCCGGTAAGCGTTGAGGAACGCTTTGTCAAACGTCCCAGTCCGCGCCCACGCCTTGGCCATGCTGAGGGCCTCTTGCGCTTGTTTGCGCAGACTTTGGACCGCGTCGCAGTCTGCGTACAGCTCGGGATCGTCAATGCCTTTCATTCTTGCTGCGTCGAGCTCCTCCTTCAGCTTGGACTCGGGGACAATCGTGTCGGTGAACTCGGCCAGAGCTTTGGCTAGCTGCCTCTGGAAGTTCTGCACGCTGAAGTACTTCTCGTCTTGGCTGCAGGCACGGTACTCGGTCATGTGGGTGATCAGAGCTGCCCGTCGGTTTCCTCGCGGGCGACCTGGGCGCCGCTTGTTACTCTCCTGCTCGCTGGTGTCGCTGGTGGCGCCACGATCGGCAGCGCCGCCGACGCCGCCGGCGCCGGCTGTGGAACCACTGCTGCTGGCTGCACTGGAAGCGCGGCGCCTGGCAGCTGCTTTCTTGGGCTTCGCCCCGGCGCCCGCCTGACATGCGTCGGCATGCTGACCTGCGGCCGGGGGCGCCACCACTGGAATGAAAGCAGCCTGGATGCCGCCGAAGATGTTCGGACTGGGCCCCGCCGCAGAGGCGGCCGGCGGCTGACGGGCCGCCGAGGGTGGCGCAGGAGCTGGAGCAGCCGCCTTCGCGAAGATGCTCGGGGCCTCCTCGCCAGGAGCCCTGGCAAATGCGTGCGATAGGCTTGCGGAAAGCCCCGCGAAGGCGCGATCAAGCTGGCCGTCGAACAGGGAGCCCTCGCTGGTCTGGTGAACGCGCCGTTTCGCCACTCCCTGAGTGACGATGTCCTCCTCGCTCCACTCCAGCCTGCCTGGGATGCGCACGCACTCGTGGCCTTCATGCATGATGACCATGTGACCTTTCCCGTTGGTGTTCGGATCTCCGTGCTCCCGCTCGTAGTCTGCCAACAAGAGAATGCGGTTGGGCGCCCGCTTCATGCGAACCTCCCGCTTCTTGAAGGACGACACCGTCTCATCGATGTCCTTCCAAGCGACGCGTACGCCCCTCGTCCCCTTCTCAGCCACGAAAATGCCAACTGCCTCGTTGCGCCGAATGAAGAATTCCGTGCAGGTGTCCTTCGAGGAGCCAATCAGGGGCACGAGCATGGCGGGCGTGGAGGTAGCAAGCTGGTCCGCGTAGAAGCCTGGCGACTGGAGAGGGGGAGGGGTGCTGCAAGATTCACTCGCCCTGGGCCCTTGGCCCCCTCCATCCGAAATGATTCTGCAGGGAGCGGGGGGGAAGGGGGTGGTCGGGGGGGGGGGGGGCATCACCTCCCACATCTCGATGGTCGAGCATCGATCGTCCGCACCCCCCACTCCTCCGACGCCAGTGTCCAATACCCACCAACCTCGTCATCCTCCAGATCGCCCTCAGGCTCGCGCCCGCCACCGTCCGCCCAGACGCCATCCCGCTGGGGAGAGCGGGGGGATGCGAATGGCATACGCATCCACCCGATCTTCCCAGCATCTACATCATCCCTCCTCATCCTCGGCCCCACTCTGAGAGCCTGCGTGCACGCGCATGCAGTAGAAGCAGAAAGCACCGCGGTTCTTGCCGTTCCGAGGTTTGTACCCCCAGTGCAAGCATTCCTCGCCGAAGACGTGGTCGAGCTCAGTGTCATGCCTGCCGCGCAGCTGGCAGACCCGCCCATCAGGCGTCACCGACGAGGTGGGGGAGGGGGGTGGGGGGGCGGGGAAGGAAGGGCAGGGAGCACTGACACGAGATTGTTAGGTGAGCGAATTGGACAAGTGAGTGTACAGAGAGGACAAGGAGCGTGACCCCGATCTGTGCACCGTCCTCCACCGTCTGCAAAACGCATCGCAGATCGGCGTTCAGCTTGCCCCAGGGACCGAAGACCATGCGCTTGGGATCCGCACGGCCGTACGAGAGCTCGGGCAACTCCGAATGGTCTGGCACGTCTGCCCCCCAGTCGCCCATGGCGGCAAGCTCGAGAGGCCCGCGGGGCGAACGCTCCGAAACGGCGGGAGCTGCCCGCGCGGCCGCTCGAGCAGCGGAGCTGCGGTTCCGCCCAGGCCCCGTTCTCACCCCGGGGGTGGGCCTGAGGGGGAGGCATGCGCCGAAGGTCATCGGGGACCTCGCCCGAGCAGGGGGGGGCGGGGTGGGGGCATGCACCGAAGGCCATCGGGGAGCTCGTTCGAGGCCAAGTTGAGGCTGAACCCGCGATCGTCTTGCATCGGGATAGCCCGTAGAACCAACGCGACTCGCATCCTGGGCCACGCCTCTCAATGGACCGAAAATGGTTTTAAGGAGGGCGCCCTGGCCCCACGCTGTCCGCCCATCACGCGGCAGCGGCGCAGCGGAGCGGCCAGGGGACGGGGGGCACGAGGAGGTCTGGTAGCAGGGGCGGAGATGGAGGCACGAAGAGGAGTAAGAGGAGGAAGGGGCGGGGCGGCTGAGGCGCAAAAGAGAGGTGGCGGGGGTAAAGCTTCCCTCAACGCACCGCAGCAAGCGGAGTCCTAGCGCATCACGAGCCCCCTCGCCTCGGCACCCCGCTGCCAGACGCAAGCCCTGCTTGTGTCTCGAGGGGGGGGCGCGTCCAGACAGCGCCAGTCATCTACGCGGGGGCCGGCGACCTGGGGGGTGGTATAATTGAATCTCCCATAGGTCAACAGCGCTGGGAAAACAGAATTACACCACGGCCTGCTGATGGCGAACGGCCTCGTCCTCATCCACCGCCTCCCCCTCGCCCTCCTCCTCATCAACCTCCTCCTCGTCATCCTCCGACTGGCCTATCCTTCCTTCACGCCCTCCCCCTCGCTCTCATCGCGCCATCGCGCTCGATTCGGGGCGGCGCTCAGCGGCGCCGCCCGAAACCCGCGATGGCCGCGAGCGCCACTGCCGCAAATGGGAACGCACTGTATGCGTTCCCCACCAGGAGCCGAGCGGTGTCATCAGAGAGGTCCCTCGCCGCCCCGAAGAAACCGATGAGGCGCAGCAGCAACTCCCCCGAGATCAGCCTCGTCGGGCGCGGGCGAAAGCAACCGACGCGGGCAGCAACCGACTCGGGGAGCGGGCCAATGGCAAACGACTGGGGCGGCTGGAGAAAGCATCAATGGCGGAAGGGCGCTGGCGAACATCATCCGCTACCTCCTCGCCCCCCCCCCCCACGCCGCCCGCTCGTTCGCCCTGCCACGGCATTCACCCTTTAACCCTGTCCCTCCGCCTACGCTTCCGCCTCCTCCTCCCCTACATCATTCAAACGCTCTGGCTCCTCCACCTGCGCCCTCCTCCTCAGCCTGCTACGCCGCCTGCGCGCCTACGCCCCTCTCACCGCACCCTCGCTGCCCCCCTGCTCTGCGGCAATGCAGCGCGCCTCCAATGCCGGGCGCCGTCCTCCGTCAGGACGCGCATGAGCAGAACCGATTTCGTTGTCAGACACGGCATGGCGTCCCTGAACACTGCGCCGTTGAGGTCGGCCCCCAGGCAGAATTTCAACGACAGGTTTATGTCGGCCCATTGGAAGTGGCCCGGGACCGTCGGCCATGGGTCGCACTCCTCCCCGTACAGCGCCACCTGGGGCGCCCGCACCACACTGCCACAGCAGCATCGACGCACGCGCGCCCAAAACCGACTAGGACGTGGTTCAAGGCTGTTGCTAACCAGCCCCGAAAGCAAACAAACACACCCAAGCTGCCCCCAAGACGGCCCCAGGCGACTGTTCAATCACAGGTCGGGGCGGCGGGGGGTGGGGCGGGGGGGGGGGGGAGGGGGGCGGGGGCGATCATCCACAAGGCGCCTCGAGAAAACATGTCGCCCCTGTCTGAGGGGCGCCGCTGACAAGGAGACGCGACGGCGACGTTTCCATCTAGGAACCTCGGTCTGGCATGGGGTGAGCGGCGCAAGGATGAGCACGAGCTCGACGGGGTACTTGGACAGGTCCGGCGGGTAGGGCACGCCGGCGCGATCGAAGTACTCGATGTGCGCATTCGAACTGCCTTTCATCTTTTTCACCTTCGGGGGTTCGTCGCCGATGTACACTGGAATCTCACGCCAGTCGAAAAAACGCTCCAACGGAACAGCGGGCACCTTCAGCGTCGGGGCGATCGCCTCCAGCGCACGGACCCCGTCGCCGCTGGCGTCGCCCATCAAGCCGACCAGCGCCATGCGCGCACGGGACACCCGTGAGCCATACTCCGTGGCCTGCACCCGCATGGCCTGGGCTCTCGCGGGCGAGCGCAGCCGATGCGACGAGGGGGCCAAAGCGTGCCAGGACGAGGTGGAGGAGGGGAATGCGGAGGCGGGGGCGGGGCGGGGCGGGGGCGCGGGGGGGGGGGGGGGGGGGGGCGAAGCGCAGCGAGAGGTGGGAAAGGGGGGGGAGGGGGGGGAGGGACGAGGCGGGGGAAGAGGAGGCAGGAGGAGGAGGAGGAAGAGGAGGAGGAGGAGGAGGAAAGGAAAGGATTGGGTAGGAGGGTCGAGGTCGCAGACGTCGGGTGCCCCCAGCAGATCCAACGCGTGATCGCATGTAACATGCACCCGCGCCGCATCACATGGATGGACGCAGCGCGCAGCCGAGCTGGATTCTCGACGTCCTCCGATCCCCCCTCCTCCGCATCTCCCCCACTCCGCCTCCTCGTGATCCTCCCTCTCCCTCCTCCGTCTCCGCCTCCTCCGAACTCCCAGCCGAGGGCGGGGCGCGGGCGCTGTAGCCCAATCCGCGAAGGAACTCGCAGATCGCCACCGCGTCGGCGCAGTTCCCGTCGCCAGCTTCGTTCAGCAGCGCCGTCAGGTTCTCCAGCACGACAAGAGCTGGTCTAGCGCGGCTGATGTACTTGGCTGTCATCATCCACGCTTTGCCTGTCTCTCCCTCCCCAGTCTGCACCGGCGACAGGCGGCGGCCACGTGTCGCGCTATTCAGGTTCGACTTGGTCGTGCAGGTGAAGCCTGCCGCGAACAGGTCTATGGCGGGCACCACGACGTGCTTCCCGCTCTTCAGGTCAAACGCGCGGGGCTGAGAGAGCCTCGGCTGTCGCGGATGGGAAGTGCGGGGGGGGTGGGGGGGTGGGGGGGGGAGGGGAGGGGGGCTTGGGGTGCTGACGATGGGCGACTACCAACGCTTGCCGTCGGCGCTGCCGACGCCGTCGTCGTCACGCCGTCGCCGTCGACCCCACCATCGCAGTCGCTGTCGATGCCGCCCTCGCCGCTGTCGGCCGATGTCACCAGGAGGGCGCCACGGCCGCCGCATCGACGCCGCCAATGCCGCCGCCGCGACAGCGAGCAGAGACCCGCCCACCCTCGAGGCAGCCGAGGCCCCTGCTCGATCATGTCGCCGAAGAGGAACTCTGTCTCTGGAAACTCATTCTGCAGGAAGAGCTGCTGGTACACGCCTTTCTCGCACTGGAACACAGATCGAAACCTGAACGGCTTGTCGTACCGCGACGCCCACTCGGCAGCGAATGCGTCGAGGATCTTGCAGAACACGTCGCTCCCGCTGAAGCCTCTGGCGACGGCGGGGGGGGACAGCGACCAGGCCTTGGACAGTGGCAAGGAGAGGCGAGTGAGGAGGAGGCGGAGCAGGCGGCGAGGCGAACAAGTAGAAGGGAGAACGCGGAGGTGGCGGAAAAGAAAAGGAGAGCGAGGGGGAGAGGGAGAAGGAGAGGAGAGCGAGGAGGAGGCGATGATCAGGAGGAACAGGAGGGGGCGAGCGTGGCCGGCATCTGTCTCATCCTCCTCCTCCTTGCCGTCCTCTACCTTCTCCTCGCCCCCTTCCTCGCCCTCCTTCTCGTGGCAAGAGGCGGACGAGCGCCAGCAGTTACAGCATGATCAAAAGGCACCAGCAGGACTGGCCTGTCCCGACTCGAAGCTCGCCGCCCGCCTGCGCCAGCGCGCCCATGAGCGACGGCACGTACTGCGGCGGCAGCTGGTCGTGCATCCTGGAGATGCACAGCTCCAGCGGGTTCGGCTGGACCTCCGCGGGGGGCGATAACAAGAAGGAAAAGGATCCAGGATATGATCCGACAGCCTCTAGGCGCCCCAGGACCCCTGGGCGCCCATGGGCGCCCTTGGATTCCATCATGCCAGACCCCTGGCAAACGATGGGGTGGACCCACCCCCCCCCTCTCCCCCTCCGCGCTTTACTTCCTCAACGCGCTCGTTTTCTTGCGATGTGACAGGCTGCTCAGTCGA